TCTTCCCCTCCTGCGCTGTCCCTCTACTCTACCCAGCATGATGTCCCTCTCTAAAGACCTGTCTCTCCTTACAACATGTCCAAAGTATGTCAGAGGAAGCCCCAGAATCCTTGCCTCCAAGGAGCAGCCTGGTTTAACCCTCTCTAGGATGAATCTAGGTGTGCATATATCTGCTTGGGTGGCAGCTATGATTTCTTTAGGGTATATTCCAAGTAATGGAATTGCTGGGTCAAATGGTATTTCTATTTGCAACTAAAACTTGAAACTTTAAAGTAAAAATTAAAATTTTGGAGAATGTGTGTCTAGTGCTATATGCTTGATAATTTTTACCTACTTAATCTTTTCTGATATTGGCTGTGATTTAACAAATGTGATTTTAATTTAATTATATAATGAAACATGTGAACATTTAGAAGATCTACAGATTTAAAACTATTATTTTCCAAATGACCAGTGCATGCATATTGATACATATATGCAAAAATGGAATTAAAATCATAAGAGAAATAGATTTTAACATAAAAGAATACAAAATGTTCATTGATATAATTTTGAGGAAAAATTCATAATATACACAAACTTTTCCAACTTTTCCATGTAAAGTCAAATTTTCCTTAAACATGTACTGAATCTATAATATGTGCATATTTTTCTAATCAACATAATACTTGATTTTCCAAAACAGGAGAAAATGCATATATTCTGCTAAATCAGAATTTAAAGATATCTGTGACACTAGAAAATCCCATTACTTTCTTAAAGATGAAAAAAAGTTATCTAGAAAGAGAATTCCTTCACTATAAAAAAACCTAAATAAAAGCTTACTAGGATCTTAATAATTTGAGTGTAAAGAAGACCTGAGATTAAAAAGAATCATGACCTTATTTATTAGAAGTAGGATATTTATTTTACAAAGTAGCTACATCTATAATTTTAGAGTATAATTTTATAATCTTATCTGAGAAAACCATCAAACCTTTTAATTTTGCCTACTTCATTGGCAAGAAGTATATCTATACATATGTGTTTATATATATATCTACACATTATATTTCAGTTCTACTGTCTCTTATTAGAGAGCTCTAGTGACCTACTGGTAAAAAACTGTGCTGTAATCACAAAGGCACATAGTTCAAATCCACCAGCTGCTTGGTAGGAGAAGGATGGGCAGTCTTTTCCTGTGTGATTAACTGCCTCTGAAAACCCACTGGAGAGTAAACTATGAGTCAATTCTAACTCATTATATAGATATTTCAGTGGGATGCTGGTAGATGCCAATTTGACTTCAGCTTATACATAGTGACCAAGTACAAGTAATTGGTACAAGCACCTTGCCTGACCCTCTACCATCTTTACAATCTCTGCTGCTTAAACTCGTCGTCACGGTCAGTATGTCAATGAACTTCTGGAGGGTCTTCCTCTCAGTTGAAGACTCTTCATCATTCTCATAAATACTAAAATAGTTTTATCTTTATGAACTTTCAATTATATTATTTAAACAAGACTTTTACCTTCATATTATTAAGTTTTCTTTTTTACCCATTTTCTTTGAGCAAACTTTTCTTCTCCTTATAAGACATATTTATACATTTCAAAAAAGAGCCCTTGTATTTTATACAAAAGTTATAGAAAACGAAAAATTCTTACCACTGGACCAACAGTTGGCATCATAATAGAAGAATGAAAGATTGAAGTTGTCAGCGATTTCATCTTACTTGGATTCACAGTCAATATCCATGGTAGCAGCTGTCAAGAATTCAAAAATGGTTTTCCATTGGTAACATCTGCTGTCAAGGACCTCTCCAAAGTGCTAAAGAGCAAAATATCAGTTTAAGGACCAAAGTGCACTTAATTCAAGCCAAGGTCTCTTCAACTATTTTCTATGCATATGAAAGCTGGACAATGAATAAGGATGACAGAAGAATTGATGCCTTTGAATTGTGGTATTAGAAAAAGTATCCAATATCCCATGGACTGCCTAAAGAACAAAGACATGCAACTAGGGTGATCCTTGCTAGGCAAGGGTGGGGAAATTTACCTCACTTACTTTGGGCATGTTGTCAAGATGGGTCAGTCCTTGAAAGAGACATCATTTGGGGGAAAGTGAAGGATCAGCAAAAGAGAGGAAGACTTTTTGATGAACTAACAAAGTGACTGTAACAATGGATTAAATTTTCCAGAGATAGAAAAAAAAAAAAAAAAATTTTCCAGAGATAGTAAGGATGGGGCAAGACATGATAAGGTTCTGATCTGTTGTTCATAGGACCATTATGAATTATAAACAACTTAATGGCACTTGGCAACAACAACACTATAAAAAGGGAGCTCTGGTGATATTGTTCTTTTTTTGATTCCATGTATTTCCAGACCTCTAAATTTTGGGTGCAGTGGGCTTGACTCTGGTTCCTTATTTGACTTCAGGTATCTCTCACTAAGAGCTCTGGTGGCCCAGTGCTAAGGAGCTATGCTGCAATCCTAGAGGCACAAAGCTTGAAACTACCAGCTGTGCCGCAGGAGGATAGGCAATCCAGTCTCCTCCAGTGTGATTTACTGCATCTAAAAACCCACTTCTATGTACGAACAGTGCTCAGGCTGTTCGTTCATAGGGTTGCTATGAGTCGTCTACGACTGGACGGCACCAAACAACAATAACAACGACAACGACAAAGAGAGAACTACGTTGGCCTAGTGGAAAGGAAGTTATGCTACCAAGCCGAAAGTGGGTGATTTTCATCTGTGGCCCTTGGACAGGTTCAAATTGTTTTCCTGTCAAACATTCTTCGAGGTGGTATAGCACTGGTCTGTGTGTTGCTGTACAGAGGTAACTCGTGGTTGCTGTGATGCTGAAGACTGTGACAGTGATGTGCCAATCGTGGTAACGGGTACCCGTGTTGGCTGGAGCTTCCCGACTAAAACAAGCCTGGAAGCAGGAGCGGCATCCACTTCTGAAATGGCTTGCCTCCGGAAACTATGTATGAACAGTGCTCAGGCCCTTCATTCATAGGGTCGCTATGAGTCATCTATGACTCGACGGCACCTAACAACAACAGC